CATCCTTACATTAATAAGTTTGTTGCAATGAACCCACAGAGAACTATAACCCAACCCTGTGAAGCTTTGCAGAGCTCTGCAGCACCTTTCAGCTCATTGTTTTGGTTTAAAGTGGACTGGTTCTCATATAGTGCTTTTCTACTCTACTTCAGCACTGAAAGGTCTTTATACAACAGGCCTCATTCACACACATTCTTACAAGCACTTCTTTTTGCTTTCAATCTAACATTCACACTTCGATGAACCCATGAGAGAGCAACTTGGGGTTCAGTATCTGGCTTAAGGATAGTTTGACATGCGGTATGGAGCAGATAGGAATCTAACTCCAAAGCTACATAGATTTAAACTGTGTGTTTAAAGTGTGTTCCACAAAAACACCCAACACTAGCTGTGCAGCTTCAAATGGTAGTGTTAGCTCCTAACTGGTGACATTTGTTGAGCATTTAGTGGCTAAAGCACCATTTATTTCTCTGGTGAGATTAAAAAAAAAAAAGAAGAAAAGAAATTGAATTTATTTCACACTGTTGCATATCAGCTGAGTAAATAAATTCAGGAGGTCTGTTTTGTTTTCCATGTTTGTAATGCAGTTTCACGTTTTGCCGATGTGCAACTCTGATATTGGTGAATTTGTTAAAACCAAAGTAAAAATTTCACTTTCAGATTTATTTCTTAATGAGCAGTGTTGTGTGTTATATATGAATTAAAAATGTGAAATCTGATACCCTGGGAGATTCACTCCCTGACATATGTTCTAAAGGCGAAAAGGGTCCAACCTGGTGCTGGCAAGTTGTACCGAACAAAGTGGTCAGTGAGTGTATATGATAGTGTTTTATAGTGCAAAACAGAGCTCCAGTGATGGAAACATCAAGGGAATACTTTCTCCCAAAGCTCCCTTTGCCTGCATTGTTGAAAATATCTCTGCATAAATGCTTTTTTCAGGGCCTAATTTCACTCAATCCGACAATGCGGTGGATGCTCACGAGCTGCTTTGCTTCTGTAGATTTCATTATAATACATATTTCTCATGATTTCCTCAACTCCTGAGCTCTAATCGTAAACACTTTTCGCCACTCCACTTCCTCCCCTTCAGGGCAACGCGCCACTTCATGGCTGGATTGAATATTCATAAAGAGTCTGTGGATTTCAGATGACACAGGGGCATCCGCCTATGCTCGACATATGCATAAAATGTGCATTAACATGGTTTTATTTCTGTCTCACTGATGTGGAGAGTGAATGTTTATAGGACACTTAATGAAATCTATCCTTTAGAGTGTCCTAAAGAATGCATGTAATCTATCAGAGTCTCTTTGAAGATTACAATTTACACCATGCATAACTGACAGCTCCCAAAAGTTATCTGATGTGGTGCACAGCACTGTAACAGTTTGGATTGTCTTTGCAGTGCCTTCCCTCTGCTCTGCAAGTCTATAAATTGGCAAACGCAGCGTGAAGCATATGGCTATTGCCCCCCAACAAATTTGTTTCTTTTTTGTACGTGGCCTAGAAATTTCCTAAACCATAAAGCCACATAAATGTCCTCTGGGAGTGTGAGATACAAAGAAATTTGACAGTCCATGGAAGCACAAAAATCAGTCACTGCACATCATTCCAGTGTCTTGGCTCTAATTGGAAAGCATTACGACTCTCTAGCTCCATCTGTTGAGAAAATTTCATAACTATGGGCAGAGGTTTGTGTTAACGGATAGGGAGGTTAGAGCCCAGCTAGAGGACAGAAGTGAATTCTTGCAAGGCGTGGAAGATACAAATGTCAGCTGAGATAATGATTCACTAGCTGCTGCAGATTCTTATGTAAGAGCTGTAATTCTTCAAACATGCTTGACTGGGTAAACTAATGAGGGTGGGTGAACTTTCTCATTTGTCTTGTGAAACAATATTAGAAATATCCATCTGTTGTGTTTCTCTGCTTGCAATGCTGAGAGAGGCTAACACATTAACCAACACATTAATACCTGCAGGCGGAGACAACGTGCCCCTCGCATGTAGGATGAACCAAGTACGGGAGGGGCAAACCTTGAAACTTCTTTCTACAATTTCTGGTTTAAAATTCTCTAAATGTTTGTGTCGAATAACAAACCGGGACACGAGCAGGTAGAGTTCAGAGTGTATTACAGTCGCAATAATTGCATTCTAGTTTTCCGCTTTTCCTCTTTTGAGAGCAGAAGCAAACACTTTTTTTCTTTTGAGCAATGCTGTGTCAAATCCATTTTTGAACACACACACAATCCACACCATGTAATTCTGTCAGCAGCTCAAAACAACATTCAGCTGCCAACTATGAGCTTTAATTTCAAAGACACAGTTTAATTTTAAAAGCAATATCTAGGCAGATATACCGGCTCTGTGTCACCTACTTGAGTTCATATGCCAAACCCGTTAGCAAAGGGTTGACTGAAACATTCAGGAAATAAAAATCTGTCAACTCTTTTTCCAAATGTATAAAACAACATTGCCACATTCTACATTAGTGTTTAATTACAGGGGGTTTTGGCATGTGAGCTATATTAGTGGTCTTTAATCTTTGTTTAATCCAAATGCTTCAGCTGCACTTATCTATGCAAAGATGTTTTTGCATTTTTGGCTTTCTGTTACTTTTTAGAAATACCATCAACCCATCAGGGACTGCAGATGATAATTACTGTGTATGGCTACATCTGGGGCATTTAAATGATGGACCCAAGTGCTCACGTTAATTAATGTGCATTGTCCCTTTTCAAATAAACATTAAAAATACATTTGAGTTGCACTGCTGCCCAGCTGCTTTCGTATCACCCCAATAGAGCACTTTGCTCTCAGACTGCGGGCTTACCTCTGTTTCCTATGGTATTTAAAAGTAGAATGGGAGGCAGAGCCTTCAGCTTTTAGGCTCCTCTTCCACCTTCCAGCTTGGATTCAAGAGACAGACCTTCTCTACTTTTAAGATTAGGCTCAAAACTTTGCTTTTTGATAAAGCATATAGTTAAATCTGGATCAGGGGACCTGGAATCCTCTCTTAGTTACCCTGCATTAGACTTAGGCAACTGGGGAATTTCTGTGATGCACTTTTCTTTCTTCTCTCGCTCCCTTTGTAGCGTATGTTTATACACATCTCTGTATTTAATTGTGAGTTACTAATAATCTCTAACTCTCCCCGTGGCTGTCCCTCCCTGAGCCTGGCTTTGTTTCTTCCTGTTGAAACAGAGTTTATCCTTCCCACTGTCGCCAACGTGCTTGTTCATAGGAGGTGGTCTGATTGTTGGGGTTTCTGTTATTGTAGGGTCTTTCCTCACATTATTAAGCACCTTGAGGTGACTGTTGTGAATAAAACTCTTTAGTAAAAAAGAAAAACATATTGAACTGAATTGATCTACTTTTTAGCTCCTAAATGCTCCACATTCTTCACTATCTTTGTGTTATGGTGTACAGACACTGTGAATCTCCTTGATTCCTGTCGTATAAAGTTTTAAATATTTTCTGCACAAAGTATGCTGTACAAATTAAAATTATAAGCACAGAGTCTGAAATATTGAAGCTGAAATATTAAGGCAATATTTCTGATTAGTAATTGGGCAATTGGCTCAAGAGCAGTTTCAAAGCAAGGTGAGGCCTGTGCCCTTGTTTTATGATGAATTAAGAAGATAAAAGATGTGGATCTTGATTCCAAGTGTTCAACTTGCTTTTGGTAGCTATTCAACTCTGACCGCGATGTCCAAAAAGATGTCAATGTAAGTGAAGCTGAAAAACCAAATATAATCCAATATAAACCTATCAGAGGAAAATTAGCAGTCAAATCCACAGACTGTTATAGTCTTAAGACTGAAAGAACTGGCCAGCTCAGGACCACCAAAAAGCTTGAAAGACCACAAGGATGATTGCAAGTTTTATTCCTTGGTTAATAAAAACAACTTCACAACATCTAATCTAGTGACATCTTGCAAGTAAAGAAAACTCTTGAGGAGGAAAGTGTATCATGTCCAAAATCTTTGCAATTTTCAGAATGACTGGAAAAGGAACATCTCATTATCGGAAGCATGCTGCATCCGTGAAACAGATGAGCATCTAGTTACCAGTGTTTTATGTTGTGACTGCTGATTGACACAGCAGGATGAATTCTGCAGTGTACAGAGATATACTTACTACCCTGATTCAAACAAACCAGCGTTTCACTCCCATGTATGACACAAAGCGCACTGCAAAAGTAACCCAAAGAAATTGGATATTGTTCTATGTCCAAATCCATCGCTTGATTTCAACCCAGTAGCGCACGGCTTTCATTCACTGACAACAAAACTGAAGGCAGAGAAAACATCACAAGCATGAAGCAACTGAATGTGATGCTCTGCCAGGCCTGGCAAGTAACAGCATTTAGTGATGTCCATGAGATTTCAACTAGTTACTGACTGCAAATGATTTTCATAGTATTAAAAGCATCGCCTATATTAAAAATGACTGTTTTGTCCAATCAAATTGAGCCTCTGAAAATCACACATCAGTTAAAGTCACATCAGTTTAATACTACAGAAATGGTTTGATTGTGACTGACTTACAATCAACAGTGGTGTTGTACGGAGGCAACATTACGAGTTTTATTAAAATTTTTGATTGATAAAGTAAATGCTTTAATACTGGCTTGGCTTAGAGTCTGAACATAAAGGTTTAAATAATTACAAGGAAACAGGTTTTTAAATCAACATTTTATTCCTCCAACCATTGTAACAAAGTACAAAAACATTTAAAATCTAAAACAAAGAAAAACCTTAGTGATGAACATTGTCAAATCAAACCTGCTTCTCTAATGTTTCTTTGAATATCAGTGAAAAAAAAAAGTTCTTCCAATCATACACTTCAAAATGACAAGATTTGTATGGATATTGTCATAAATACCAGGAAATGAAGTATTTATACAGAAATGGCATAATTTAAATGTATGTTCAAGGTTGAAGACCGGCTGAGCAGGCTTAAAAAAAAAATAAAATAAAAAAATAAAAAGAGTTTAAGCCAAGTGTCCTCCGTACACAGCGGCTCTTCATGGAAACAAACAAAGCACAAAGTCCACTCAGCCTTATCTGTCTGGTCTCATCATGCCGGGCCTCACCGGCGGCATCATCATCGGTCGAGGATGACGCATCATGTTTGGTGGTCCTGGCATCATCTGCATGGGTCCTCCCATTGGTGGCCTCATGCCTCCTAGATGTAATGGTGATGGCATACACAGCTTTAGGTATTATTCATTACACCAGTTTACCCAAATGCCCACATCAGTGCGCTGACAGACTTTTTCAAATAACCTCCTTGTCTTTTGTCTCATCGGGCCACCAAGGCACAGAAATGTGTGATTGCTTAAGATATTTTATTTTTGCCAAAGCTGATTCAAAAGATATTGATTTTACAGTGATATAAAAGCAAAAGAAAGGCTGCCAATCAGGAAAGAGAATTCACACACAATATAATAATAAATAAATATTCAAATAACCCTGTGTGGTCAACAGCTTCATCTGCATGTGTGGTCATTGCTTATGAACACACTCTTGTTTAACAAACTTTTCAAATGACTTGACTATGACTATGTTCAAATGTTTCTGTATCATGTTGAATAAATATCAATTAAAAATGGAACTAGGGCCAGGCCACACCTTCAGGTAATACCAAATTTTATCACAAGATGGCGCAACAAGTTTAATGACACCTTTACTTAACCGGCGAGGCATTTATAGCACATCCTTATTTACAATGCTGTAGTATTGGCAGTAAGATTTAAAAGAAACAGAAGTTAAAACAACAGCAACTGTTGGGGTTTAAAAAAAGAAAAGAAAAAAAAAATTAAGGAAAAATGTTTCTTACCAGGCCCACCGGGCATCATGCCATGTGGTGGAGGCCCCATCATAGGCATCATTGGAGGACCTCCCATTGGGGGTGTTGGTAGCATGCCTGGACGAGGAGGACCAGCTGCATTTGAGACAGAAAAATGCCAGTGCACAATTAATGTTAAGACTCTGTACAAGTGCACAGAAATTTACATGTCAAAATCCCATAGAGTGAATCACAGTATATGCAAAGAGCCTCATTTACAGTGATATTTGACCAACAAGAGAAAACAAATATCCAACAACAGACAAAGCTTATGCTCACTACAGCTCTAAGGGATCGTTTTATTGGTTGCAGTTTTATCATCACTATCTTTGACCTTGTTTTTTTTTTTCTCCTTCTCTTTGATCAATAAATCTGCAAACTTGTCAGTTTTGTTGTTCCCCTTAATTCATTTTCACGCATGAGCTCAATGTTGGGAAATTTTAAAGAGTTTCCCTGTAGCACCACAGCAGGCGACCGTTTACTTAGATGCATTCTCACTCCCGGAAATCATAAAATAATTGAAGCGAGGTGCTTCCTGGTGGGGGGGGAAATAGATTAGTCAACTTTTCTAAAAGACAACACTCAGCATACAGCCAAAATAGAGTACCAGCTAATGGATGAGGTTAAACATGTTAAAAATACTGGATGTGTATCTAAGCAGCATTTAATAACTAATAATTACATTATTCAGTATTAAATTCAGGGTTTTTAAATCTCACTGATAAGTGCAGTACTTTACACTGCATAACACCTAACAGTTTGCCTATGCTAATGTTAGTGCTAGCAGGCTAATCTGCACATAACTGTGCAGAATATGGTTACACACTGCCGTGTTGGAAGTAAACCAAACATGCAACTGTTTATTTCTAGGTTAAAGTACTGCAGAACCACACCAGTATATTCAACCATCATTTCTTTTACCTCCCACTTTGCTTGTTTTCAACCTACACTAACAGAGAAAGAGCTGCTGCTGTCTGTTAGGGCTGCAGTGGTGGATGATGGTGTACGGCCTCTTAACATCTTGCAACCACAAGATTAATAAACATTAATAAACTATTTATTTATTAATTTATGTGATTAGAGTTGCCACAGTCAGTTAGAGTGGGGGTGACTCAACATATGTTTACCATTAACTTTGTCGTGCAGGTTTGTGGTCACAGTTTTACCACAATTTGGAATTTAGAAAACAAAACAACATTTTATTTACCAAAATAAATAAATATATATATATATAGAGTTACATATGAACTCAATCTGACATTACTTAAGGAATGTGTGCTTTTGTCTCATCTCACAGGGTCAGATGCATCTCTAGCCTGCACGCTATAGCTGTAGCTATCCATCTATCTATCTATCTATCTATCTATCTATCTATATCTATATCTATATAATTTATTTTCACACAACACTGAGAAATTGCTCGTAGTTGCCCTTCCTTGCACATAAACACACAACAAGAGACAATCTGCTTCAGATGCATTCTCACTACTGGCAATAATACAATAATATAAGCAAAAGGTGCTTCTTGGATAGCACTTGCAGGAGGCACATCATGTTCTGCCTCCTGCAAGCGCTACCCAAGAAGCACCTTGAAGTGAATTTACTCAACTTTACAGGCACTAGTTACATATGAACTCAATCTGACATTACTTAAGGAATGTGTGCTTTTGTCTGATCTCACAGGGTCAGATGCATCTCTAGCCTACACGCTAGATGCATGTAATAAGTTTAGATGCTGAATACAAAGGCTCTTATTTAAAAGCTTTAAAACGCTAATAATTGGCACATAGTCTGGACTTAATACACGTTTAAGCAATCCCAACCTGAGTCATAAATCCAGCTTTCAGGAAATATATATAAAAATACTGAATTTTTTTTTTTCATGTCATGAGATGCTTTATTCATGCAAATTAATTGTTAGTTATCCTGTGGATATGACTGCTAAAGTTCCACATGTATGGCTTCTTGTTAGTCTAGTGAAATGCACTTCATTCAACCTCCAATTAAAAAGAAAAATGTTAACAAAATTTCCCATATGGTTATGAATTTATAAAAAGCCAGTGTCCATGTTATGGTTGGTTAATTAAATTAGATTAGTACCAAGTGTAAAGATGGACTCACCTGGGGGAGGGCCACCTGGGAACGGTGTGGGAGGAATCTTTCCCTGTTGAAATGCGGCCGCTGTTGGCAGAAAAGACAAAATTCAAAACACACACACAAAAAAAAAAAAAAGACATTTTTCATGAAGATTATGAATCCTGTACAGATCCCAATCTAACTTCAGTGCAATGCTCTACATATGGAGTCCAACAAATGGGATCTTTTTAAATGGGAGAGGAAGTAACATAAAAGTGACTTCAAAAAACTAAATCATGTGTCATGTTTAAAAGCCACAAAGAAGAACTTTGTCTGTAAAACAACAGATTCCTCCACAGTGGACAAAAACACTCATGAGCTTTGCATTTTATATATGGATTAGTGGTATGTAATCTCAGAGGCCCAAGTAAGCTGGTGTATAGAGCCCACTGGTTAAGCAGAGAACTTGGATATCCTACATGAGTGCAAAAGCATGCCCGTGTGGGATATGTAACAGGCTTTTACTGTCTGCCTCTAAACCAGCTTACTAAATATGGAAAAGAGCATGCGGTGCCCACATTAAGCATATAGACGGTTTGCTGTACAGTGGTCCCTCTCTATAACACGGTTCACGTTTCGCGGATTTTTTTTGTGCAATTTTGCATGCTTTTTTTTTTTTTTAATTACAGTGCATTGTGTTCTGCATCCTGATCGGTTGTAGACAATCGTCAAACAATCTCCGCCATGCCGTGTCACCTGTCCAGTACAGAATGTGTTCAGCTTGTCAAATTTAAATAAATCTTTGATCGCTAGCAGTGTGACTCTGAAGTGCTGTACTATATGTTTGTAAGTTTTCTCCCCAACAAGCACAACAATGTCGACGAAACGTTTTGCACCGTCAAAGGCACCTGCAGTAGCACCCAAAAGGCAGAGGAAGATGCTAACCATCACACAAAAAGTTGGACTTCTGGACATGCTAAAGGAAGGTAGAAGTTACCGTATTTTTCGGATTATAATATAATACTGGACTTATTTTTCTACGAAGATTTGAACTTTGAGGGTGTTTAAACAAGAGAGAAAAGTGTGAAAATCTTCTTGCCTATCTGAGAAAAGTGTGTGTAGTGAGGGGTTTTACAGCCTTAAAACATCTATAATAACAGTAAAAAATAAAGTTGGCTACTTCGCGGATTTCACCTATCGCAGGTTATTTTTAGAACGCAACTCCCGCGATAAACGACGGACCACTGTACAAGCAAATAAAAACATCACTGATACTGCCACTAGAGGGCACTTTCACATTTAAGATAGGCTTGTTGGACAAGTGATCTGTATCCAAAAGAGCTCAGAGTCAGAACAGAGTTTCTCCCCTGATCAAAACATGTTTTGTCATCAGGAGACTATGACTCAAGCTTCCTAATCTTACCTCAAACCAAAGCCTATAGTAATTTTATTCTTGACACAAGACATTCAGACAATAATATTCTTACTTGTTTTATCAATCAGACTCTGTGCTTGCTCCTCCATCCATTTCTGGTAGTAATCTTTCACATTTTCTTTGTGCTTTCGGCCACTGCAGTGGGTTTTCCTCACTGACGGCTTAAACAGAAACAGAGTAAAACCATGAGATATTTAACTGGAACAGAAAAGACACACACACGCGCACGCACGGACGCACACACTAATGCCTTTCAACAATTTGATATGATACAAACAAAACTTACCGAATCATGTGTAAGGTAGGTATCACAGTAGTCACAGTAAAACCTGAGGATTAAAAAAAACAAAACAAAAAAAAACAAACAAAAAACCAGAGGTTAACTTTTTAGTATTTGTGTTTTGTTTTTTTGTGTTTTTTTTTTTTTAAATCCAGACCTTTTAAATATGACCAATCGGAGATATTATAATTCTGATCATTTATCAGTACATATCCATCCATCCATCCATCTTCATCCGCTTTGTCCGGGGCCGGGTCGCGGGGGCAGCAGCCTAAGCAAAGAGGCCCAGACCTCCCTCTCCCCAGCCACCTCCTCCAGCTTGTCCGGGGGAATACCAAGGCGTTCCCAGGCCAGCCGAGAGATATAATCTCTCCAGCGTGTCCTGGGTCTGCCCCGGGGCCTCCTCCCGGTGGGACATGCCTGGAACACCTCGCCCAGGGGGCATCCTGGGTGATGCTCCACATCGAAAGGAGCCAGCTGAGGTGGTTCGGGCAGTACATATCCATATTTCTATATCTATGTATAAAAACTAAAGCTGACACTTGTGAGACTTGCCTTTGTGTCAAAGTAACTGAGGATAAAATACAGAAGAACATGAAGGAGATTTTCCTGTCCTGGCATTTTATAGCAGATGACACCTTTAAAAATATTCTGCAGTAGATCAACAACAGACAAATACCATGAATCAACATATGAATATTACCCTTATGCTTTTGAAGGTAAAGTTACAGCGGTTTTATTAGAGATGCAGCTAAGCGTTTTGAAATTTTGCATAATTTGTAAAGGTTTAATTTCTTCAGTACTGAAGAGCAAAAATTTGGCTTTCTTGCCAGAGGTCAATAAATAGAATAAAAACAAACAAACGCGCTTTGTGTTTACATCTTTTTGCTGAATCAGTTTACCTGCTCTCATTTGCCGTTTTAGCTGCTTGGCGTTTTTTTTTTTTTTTTTTTTTTTTTTTTAAATAGTTTGGTGAGCTTTAACCTGAAATCCTGGTGTTTCTGGCAAAATACATGTATATTTAAAATAGGGCTGGGCCATATCACACCATTCACAGTAATACCGGTATAATTTCGGGCAATATAAGAAAATGAAATATTGCAATAGAATATGGGTAAAACGCACATGCGCAGTGCCTTTGTTTACATATGCACATGGAGGAAAAAGAGTGCCGGTGACGGCGAATGAGAAGGGCGAACGCGGATCGTTGAAACGGATGAACCAGAATTGGTTTGTAAAAATGCTGCAACTTCAGTGGTGTGGAACTGGTTTAGCTTTCACCCGTCAGATACACAACAAAGCTCTGTATTTGGTAGCGCATGCTAGCGGGCTGTCGTTATTACTGTGTTTTTTGGAAAATATGACACACTTAAAATAAATCCTTTGATTTTTCTGAAAATCGGCAGTGCCCCTAATAAAATCCCGTGTGCCTTATGTATGAATTCTGGTTGTGTTTACTGACCTCGAAACGATTTTATGTCGTACACGGCGCTCGAAAATCTGTCAAATGTTTTAGTACGACTTTGCTAAGCTACGAAACCCGCACCGCTTGATGGATTGTCGGAGCATTACGGCTATCGTAGGCAGGAGCCTCGCGGAGTGATACGTACTGTGCTTCAACATAATATTACCGTATTGTGTGTGTATAACCTCTTTTTAAGTTTTGTGGATATTATACATGGTTATGCTGAGGATATGTCGGCCATTTCCACTGGAAATGCCTTTTGGTTAAACTGTCAGCAAGGAATTTGCATTTGCACTGTTAATTTTTATATAACTTTAATGCACATAAAAAACAGCTGCTTGTTTAAGTGAAAATACATTGATGGGGTTTTTTGCACTAATAAAGTTGTGGAGTTGTAAAGTATTTTGTCTAGTGTCAATTATATCGTCAGTCATATCGTTATTGCAAATTTTCAAATGTATATCGTGATAAATATTTTTGGTCATATCTAATTTCTAATTTTGAATTCTAATTTAAAAATCCAATTAGGATTTAATAAATAGATATTGCATTATTCAAACTATAATTGATTTGAATCAGAGAAGTCAATTGTTTAAACCCACCCCTAATATCAACAACAGAGCTGATACTCTTATACCCTCACTGGCCACTTTATGTCTGCTCAACAATGCAAACAAAGTAGATAAATTTAATAGGCTAATCACATGGAACCAACTCAGTGCATTTTGTCATGTAGACTTGGTTAAGTTTTATATTATACATGACATGGTTGTTGGTGCCAGGCACGCTGGTTTGATTTTCTTGGGATGCTCAGCACATCAAACCTTGAAGCAGATGGACTACAGCAAAAGAAGACCATACTGGGTGTCACTAAAGTCTGCTAAGAACAGGAAAATGAGGCAACAATTCACACCAAATCGTTGCCTTGGCAGACAAAAGATTGAAAATATGTTTTCTGGTCTGACGAGTCGCTACTTCTGTTGTGATATTTGAACGGTCAGAGACTGGTGGAAGCAGCATAAAATGCTGGATCCATCCTGCCTTGTATCAATGGTTCACGGTTTGATGGTCAATAATCCAGGTAAGGAAATCCCATAAGGTTTATTGAGTTCATCTGTACATAACATTTTTCAGTGGGAAAAGTATGGATGAGAAATTAAACTATTCACCCACTGAAAATGAAATGAAAATCCAAATAAAATGAATCAACTTTTAAACAACATGGTGTACCCGAGTAATGTCCAGCCCTTTAGAAACCAGTTTTCCAACAGGGTAACACCATGTCACATGTCAGCTCAAATCACCACTACACAAAATATTCCCTCTAATATATCCTTTTGTATATTAGAAGTGTGTTGTAAAGGAGAATGCATTTTTTTAAGTAACATATGCTCCATGCAGGTGTTAGAAAATGTCCACCTAGATTTTGAGATGCCCTACATGAAAAGTCCCTCCCGGCTGGAAATATTTACCTTTCACAAAGGATAGCATGTATACTTCTGTGGTCATGCAAGAAATGTTTACATTATTCTTATTTTTCAGAAATAGATAAGATATTCTCGGGCCAGATGACTCACTAATTTTAGCTAAAAAAAAAAAAAAAAAAAGACTAAAAAAAAAGGCAAACGCCACTGTAATTCTGCGCGAAAAAACAATGAAAAGTTTGAACTAAATACACATTTGTTTGTTGGACCATTAGGAACCGCGAGAAAACTCGAACAAAACAGTGAATTGCTCTGTAGTTTAGATATTTGTTAAGCGTATTACGTTACAAATTACGTTAGCCTCAATAGAAACCATTGAGAGACTGGTCTGTTCAATATCACAGACCCATGACTTCACTATCTGTCGATATTTGCTGGTAAACGTTTATGTTGGCTTTCGCTCCAGCAAATAGCCAGAGCCTAGACACAGCTTACAGCCTCGGTCTGAGCATACCCCGGTTATTAGTCTCCAGGGTTTTTCTTACCACCAAATCTTACTTAATTTAAATACAAACGCACACCAATGCTGTTAAACGAAATAGGTAGAAGACTTATCAGTAAAAACAAATTTTATGTGAACTTACTTCGGCATGTTTCACAGAAACCTCCACCAGAAAGCGCGACGCCGGTGCTCCCAATAAGCGTTCCGACAAGATATGGAGACCTACACAAATTTAGTTCCGCCTAAAATCGTGCTATGGAAAATTACATGGTTTTCTTTCTTCTGTTGGTATTTAGTTGTTATCACAGCCATTGCTTAAGTCACAAATTAGCATGTATGTGGCATGTATTGGCTTTAACTTGTTAACCCAGTTTCTAAAACCATATATTAGATTTAGTAGTTTGTTAACTGCAAATGACATGAATTGAATTTTGTATGTGTTGTATGTGCTTTTTCTTTAGTTATTCGTTAGTTTCGTTATTGATTTATATATTTCTTTCCTGTATGTTGAATTTTGCTTTCAAGCATAATCACTTCATAGAAAGGTTAAGGAAAAGTACATCTTTAAAAAAAGTGAGTTTTTATAATTCTGAAAAATTTTATATGTGTAATTAAATTCAAATTCAAATTTTATATAATTAATATATTCAGTGCTGTTTTCATGTACATCGGTAGTCATACTGTCCATATTTTACATTGAACAAATAGATGGGAAACCGATTTCATTGATAAACCAATGAAAAGGTGGCTACAAATAGCAACAGATGACGTCGACGCCCACCAAGTGATTGGCGGAGGGCGACGAGCGCGCTGTTGCAACGTCAAACATCGTCCCCCTAGTTGTGCCATGCGCATTAACGGTTGTTGTTGTTGAACTGGTTGTTATGGCTGAACAAGGCCTCGGACTCAATTGAGAGAGGACCCCCTTACCACCCCCGTCTCCGCCACGGGACACCTGGCACCCATGGAGGGCACGGACATGGACGTGGACGCGGAGCTCATGCAGAAGTTCAGCTGCATGGGCACCACGGACAAGGACGTCCTTATTTCGGAGTTCCAGAGGCTGCTGGGCTTTCAGCTCAACCCTGCCGGCTGCGCCTTCTTCCTGGACATGACCAACTGGTGAGTGCGGGGATTGGAGGGCCCGCTGTGGGGAGGACAGGAGTATGACGCTAACCTAGCTTTATAATTAGCTTGTTAGCCTACATAGATAAAAAAAAAAATGTTCAAAATAGAGCGCTATGGAGGTGATGTTGAACCCTGAAGGGAATCATATCACCATTCCCATTCTATGGGATGACTGTTAACTCCAAGCTATCATCACTGGCAAACGGAAGTGAAACGGTAAAGTTTGCCGTGACCGCAGAGGAAACAGTAAGGTGAAGTCACCGAGGAGCCAAATAGCTAGCAGGCTAATTTAAGCACAGGGAACTCTCGCTCCCGGATCGTCAGCCATGTTACATAACAGCGCACAGAGCCAGTTAAACCGTGCTCATCGGGAAGCCAAAACTCAAGGCAGCGTCGCTCACTTCACGTTATTCTGATGACGTAACCAGTCGTGATCTATCAGCGGCCGACAACAAGTGGTCTTGATCACAACGCCTTTGTGCTCCTGGCCAGCTATGCTCACGTTCTTTAGTTTGTCAGCCATTGATGCCCTTTATTGGATCAATTTTGAAAGATAAAACTTGCTTTCACATAGCTTCTGTATAGGGGAATGGAGCTTAGGAGGTCATAATGGAAAGAAGGCATCATTGCGCGGCAGTTGTTTGAATCTGTCCCCTGAATCCAAGATTTGGAAGTTCTAAGTAAACATGAATTTATGGCTAGTATATGAGCAATGGCTCAGAGGTAGCAACCCACTAAACCAGGCAGCCTTATTTCTCTCTTACTGGCAAAGCTAAACTAAGAGAAGTGCCACTAAGATGACTATGTAGGACTGTACAACTTTGTTTTTACTTCTTTTTGTTGTGTATTTTTCACACTTACATGCTTCAGATCAGCAAAAAATGTGAGTAGACAAAGATAATCTGAGTTAATACAAAATACAGTTTTTATATGACAATTTAATTAAGGGGGAAAAAGTTATACAAACCTATCTGAGACAAACCTAATAACTAGTTTTGCCACCCTTGGCAGTAAGAACTACAATCAAGAGTCTGCAGTAACTGGCAATGAGTCTTTTACACAGCTGTGGAGGAATTATGGCCCACTCTTTAATTCAGCCACATTAGAGGCTTTTCGATCATGAGCAGCCTGTTTAAGGTTATGCCAAAGCATCTTAATCAGATTTAAATTCAGACTTTAACTAAGCCACTCCAAAACATTTGTTTTCTTTTTATCTTATTTATTTTGATCTTTCTGATATTTTGTTGTTGTCCTGCTGCATAACCTGGGTGTGCTTCTGCTTCAGGACAAAAAAACCGATGGCTTCAGGTTTTTCTAGTATAGATTGGAATTCACGATTCCATCAATAATGGCAAGTCGTCCAGCTCCTAAAGCAGCAAAGCAGCCCAAGGCCATTATACTACCACCACCATGATTGACTATTGGTGTGATGTTATTTCTTATCAAATATTGTGTTAGTTTATGCCAGATATAAACTTTCCAAAAAACTGAACCAGTCTCATCATTCCACTGAATATTTTCTGTTTTGGGGATCATCAGGTGCATTTGGCAAGCCTTTGTGGGGATTTTTTTGGTAGCTCAGTAGGTAGAGCAGGTCATCTAATAATTGGAAAGTTGGTGGTTTGGTCCCTGGCAGCTCCAGTCTGCATGCCAGATATCTGTGGGCAAGATACTAACTATGCATACTAGAATGGATGCATCAGAGTATGAATGTGTGTAAAATTTAGATAGAAAGCACTTAAGCATAGAAAAATGAATAGGAGTGTGTGAATGAGGCATGTTATACAAAGCGCTTTGTGCTGTGGAAGAGTAGAAAAGCGCCATATAAGAATCCATTTTTGGTCAGAAGTGTTTTTGCCCAGTCCCTGTTTTTTGTTGAGTCATACACTCTGACATTACGTGAGCCAAGTGTGGCCTGCAGTTCCTTAGATGATGCTCTTGGAGGAATTTTAGTTTGGATAGCCCCCCCCCCCCTTAATACATGAAATCATCATTTAAAATGTATTTGTTCTTTTTGACTAATTAAAATTTGTTTGATCTGAAAACATGTAAGTGTAATATCCAAAATGTAAGAAATCAGAAAAGGCAGATACTTTTTAACAGTACTGTACTCAGGAGGTGCATGTTGAAGTAGTCAAATATGTTATGAGGACAAGCTGATCTGGCAAATATGTTGCAAATAATGCTAATTGTAAAAGTAGGGCAGGCTTTGCAAAGACAAACAAAAACACTTGGACAGATTTTACTTTATACTTCAGCACTATGATTTCAAGTTTAATAACTAGGATCGATAGGTATTGCTGATGTGTATTAACTCTATGCTTGCTTCTTTTGCATTGGAACAGGAATCTGCAGGCTGCTATTGGTGCATATTATGACTTTGAAAGTCCCAATGTCAACACCCCATCTATGTCCTTTGTTGAGGATGTGACAATTGGGGAAGGAGAGTCTGTCCCTCCAGATACGCTGTTCACTAAGACCTGGAGGATACAAAACACAGGTATATGGGCTTTACATTTACACCTTCACATTGTATACATGTAGATAGTCTTTATAAATCTGTAACGTGTTCATGGATTTTGTTGAGATGTATTTTGAATGAATTCTTCTTGGTGTCTTGTAGGTGCAGAGTCGTGGCCACCGGGCGTTTGTCTCAAGTACATTGGAGGCGATCAGTTTGGGCATGTAAACACAGTTATGGTGAAGTCGCTAGATCCCCAGGAAATATCAGATGTGAGTGTGCAGATGCGAAGTCCCACAACTCCTGGCATGTACCAGGGCCAGTGGAGGATGTGTACTGCCACTGGATTATTTTATGGAGGTAAGAACCACTACTACTTTGATTAACTATCAAGTACATTTATGAGACCTATGACTAATAATAGTAAATAATAATTTCAGTTTATACTAAGCCAAGATAATTAATCAGATTTATATCTCATTTACAATTTTCGGTTCCCGTGATGATTAAAAACAACATTATAATACAACTGTTAGTATTTTGCTTTCATGTTCAGAACAAAGGTCTTGTTTAGGTACTCTGTAATACATTAGGCTCCCCTTTTCTTCATAGCTGTGTTCTTTGCTCATCCTAATAACTTAAAGTCAGTCGCTTTTTACTGCAGCTTCAGAAAAGCTCATTAAGAGACATCAATCTAGAGGAAGTAAGACTCAAGTTTTTGTAGTCAAAAACTGCAGGATTATCAGTTGTGTGTGGCTCCCTGTTTCTGCAGATCCGACGGTCTTTCACTCAGCCCACTTTCAACAGTGTGCGACAATTTGCTGTCGGCTTTGGGTTTTTTCTCGCCTCTGTGACTGCTTTGCAGGTCTCTGAGCCACTTGAGCTCACTGTCACTCTGTGCCCTCTTGGCCTCCATCTGTGCCGGCAGACTTCCCACAGCGGAGGCAGGTTGGCAGGAACCAATAGCTACCGGAGACAAAAAAATTGCCCCCTGGTCAAGGCCTAATACTGTTCCTCACCCCCCATGATTATGACTTTTGCCATAATTGAACTGTCTTAGTTTATAATCAGAATCAGAATACTTTATTGATCCTTGGGGGAAATTATTTTTTTGTTACAGTGCTCCATTATAAACCAACATAAACCAACAGTAAGACAAGACAGACAATACGCTAACTAAGAATAGTACAATATATACATATATATACATACATAAGTCACTCATAAATAAATAGCTGGAAAAGAAACATGTGTAGTTGTAGCAGTAACCAGTGTGTTAAGTGGATGCGTTGTACAGGGAGATGGCCACAGGCAGGAAAGATTTCCTGTGTCGTTCAGTGGTGCTTTTCGGTAATCTCAGTCTCTCACTGAACGTGCTCCTGTGACTGACCAGCATGTCATGGAGTGGGTGGGAGGTGTTATCCAACATTGTCTTTATCTTGGACAGCATCCGCCTCTCCGACACCACCTTGAGGGAGTCCAGCTCCATCCCCACAACATTACTGGCCTTACGGATCAGTTTATCGAGTCTGTTGGCATCTGCGACCCTCAGCCTGCTCCCCCAGCATGCAACAGCATAGAGGATCGCACTGGCCACAACAGACTCATAGAAAATCCTCAGCATTTTCTGGCAGATGTTGAAGGACCTCAGTCG